ACAGCATATCTAGTTTAGCAGAAATTGCCAGTGACCTACCAGGATTTCATGCTAGCAATTCAGAAATGTATCTACATCACCAAAGATTGCTGGTGAGTGACCTTGTTACAGGATTTCGTGCTAGACATTCCAAAACATATGTAGGTTACAAGAAATTGCCGGTGAGCCACCTTACTTCCGAGGTAGAAATCCGGCGGAATCCGCCGGCACATATCCGCCGGAATCTGCACCATAGGTTGGTCGCTCTCCAAGTTTGGGTGGCCGGTCTACACAGTCACGTGGCCTACTACACGTCACGTACACGTAGATATCCCCGAAGAAGCGCCAGTGGGTACATCGACGCTTGCTGCATCTTGCTTCACGTCGTCCTTGGTGTTTGTCTACCTTCCGTATATCCGGTGCATATACCACTTACCCTCACAACATCAAGATGGTCAAGTCAACTCTCATAGTCCGAGCCTCTGACGCGCTACCCTTGGCAGCCAGTGTGGATGATGAGCAGGTGAGCTGCCGATGCTAGCAATCCACGCCAAGCGACAAATGTATAACGGAACGTAGACAGAACAATCCCTGCAAGAACACAAGCAGCAGGCAAAACTCGTCTTTAGGCGGATCACACCCAACTCGGAGCCGCGGTGTTCGATCGAGAGCGGGCAGTATACGCTACAGTACGCAGCATCTAAACGCGAGGTCCCGGCTTGTTGAAGGACTTACAATTCTCTGCGCTAGCTATCTGATCGCGGACAATGTCGTGTACCTTGTCATCACGGACAAATCGTATCCGCGGAAACTCGCCTTCTCCTACCTGGACGAACTCTCAAAGGAGTTTGCAGTGTCATACGGCGCCAAAGTGGAGGCAGTACGGAAACCGTACGCGTTTGTAGGATTTGGTGTGTTCTTCTGTGCCACTGTGCAAGCACCTTCCGGCGCTCATAATGCTACGTCTTGCAGACACGTTCATGGGCAAAACCGCGCGGTTATACCAAGACACGCGGACAGCCAACGCAGCCAGCAGCTCGATGGACAAACTGAATGGCGAACTGCAAGACGTCACGCGTATCATGACCAAAAATATGGAAGAGCTGTTGTGGCGAGGGGACTCCCTAGACAGTGCGTGGCTAAACCCCTTGTTTCTCCGTTGCGGCATACTCATCGTTGTGGCTCTCTTTCTGTGTTCAGGGATGTCTCACCTATCGACGTCACTGCGTTCCGAGTCAGAGAAGTATCGCAAAGCAGCCAGGAATATTAACATCCAAGCGATGATTCGGCAGTACGCGCCGATAATCGCAATTGTGTTATTTTTAATCATCTTCCTGTGGTGGAGATTCTCATGATGGTGTTGTCATCTCTTCTTCAATCCCGTTTCGTCTCCTTGGCTCTTCTGCTCTTTCTCCTGCGTATCTCCTTTGTTCTTTTACTTATTCATCAATGTCGCGATGGACATTCGCATCTGGAACAAATATATGCAAGTGGGGACTCCCCCAGAAAACGGTCACCGTGTTGTAGCACAGCCTGTGTGGTTATTAGCATGCCACTCACAGCAGCGCTCAATCAACGCCCACGGGATCTTTCCGTACAAGTAAGAGATGGCGCCGGCAACACCAAGCTATAAGCCAAAACAGATTACCATATGCTCCATCAACGCCTGTGTCCCCTTCTCTCGCCTGGTATCCGTCTGCCACTGCCAGACGAGCGAGAGACTCACGCACCTGGTTCAACGATGTCGTACGGCGTTCGCTTCCCCGGCGGTGCTTCGCCCGTGATGCACCCGCAGATGTTCCCACCCAGCAGTCCACAGCCACAAGCAGCTCAGATCCAACCAGGAGCGATAACATACACGACCAGTGTTGCGCCAGATGGGCAGATCATCTACAATCCGTTCAAGTGAGTGCTTCCCCGATCCTCGGGTCGCGCTGCTGATCCCGAGTCGATCTGCTCTTGCCGATGAATGCAGGGCTGTACCAGCGAGGTATGAGTGGTGCTCATCGCACACGGTGTTCAGAAAGACTGAACGTATCTGTAGCTACCAGACGCCGCAGGGTATTATAAGCGGTATACAATGGGTGCCCGTAGAGGCTACTCAGGTCATTCCTGCTGGAGCTGTACCGGCATCGGCGGTGAGCACAACTTCTCTGCAGTCGACTCGGGGCACTTGTTCAGTAGTCCGCCCCTTAGGATATAGTGGCGTCATTAAATCGAGGCCAGGTTGCACCGAACGGAGACGCATTGAGAGACTGGTGAGACTTCTAACGACCACCTGCTAGGAAGTATTCATAACACAGCCTTTCAGGCAGAGAGAAGAGGAGAAGCGCCGCAGAAAGGAAAACGAGCACCGCGAACGTGAAGAGAAAGGACTACGCAAGGCTCGCGAGAAAGACGCACGCCACGCTGAACGCGAGCGCGAACGCCAGAGAGAGCGTAGGCCCAGCACCGGGTTCAACGGCCCATATCCCACCTACAACTCCGTCACCACCGACCTCGAGCGCCGCTTCCAGGACGTCGGAGTTGACAGCCGTGAACGTGAGTTTGAGCGGGACCATCCGCGCTCCCGCCGAGGCTCGTACAACGGCGAGCGTCCTCCAGGATACCAGCCTGCCTCTGGCGGCCCACAATACGCCACTGGCCCCGGCGGTTACCCTACGCCTGCGCCGTCCTCTTACGCTTCCAATCCTCCACCTCCTTATGGCAACCCTGCATATAGCACTAGCGCAACGCCGTACGCTCGCCCAGGTGCATATCCTCCGTCTCCGCGCCTCGGTGACGCTGCAAGGTCTGCATCGCCTTTCCAGCCTCTCCCAGTAGGGGTTCAGCGCCCCGTCTCTCCCTACATCGTTCCTTCGACCGCACTGAGGCCCGTCTCACCTTACGCACGTCCTGCTGGTGCAGTGCGCTCCGTATCCCCTTACAACCCCACCGGTAATGTGCGACCTGTCTCTCCTTACGCACTTCCTGCTGGTGCAGTGCGCCCCGTATCCCCTTACAACCCCGCCGGCATGGCGCGACCTGTCTCTCCTTACCAGAATCCAGTGCCTCGTCCTGTATCGCCGTACCAATCAGGTAACATCCAAATTCGCGCGTCTTCCAGGCCTGGTCCGGCCGCATACCCGCCCGGTCATGTCATGGAGGGACAGCGCCTCAGACCCTCACTCTCTCGCGCGGGAAGCCCTGCACCAGGCGCTCCGCCCTTCGCAGGCGCGGCCGCTGCGTACAATGCAGGCTACGGTGCCGCTCCTCGAACGTACCCGGAGGCAGGGGGCTCCCCGCGCATGCCTCTCGTACCTAGTGAACAGCAGCAGCAGATGCTCAGCGCTCCTGAGGGCTTCTCGCGTCCACCCAACCTCGCACAGCCATACACTCACTTTGAGATGATGAAGATCCAGGATATGGATGACTTCTTAGAGAACATTCCTCGCATGCCGCTCGTGCTCGTGCCGCACGACGTCTACCATGAAGACTGGATTCGTTTCATGCAGGTATGTATCAGATTATTCGATGCATACATTCATCTTGACAGAGGGTCATGTCTGGGAATGCAGGATCTGGCGTTGTCTTGGTCCGGGAGGTTACCGGTGCCGCAATACCATGCAGACGGTCGCCCTCCAAAGCGAACTACTCTCAGCGCGGACTTGATCGATCTTTGGAACGCATCATTCTTCCTCAAGAGGGGCATTGAGGTCGTGCTCTACAAGGGTCGCGAGCGGCGCTCCGGGCGGGCAGCCGGGACTGTGGATCTCCATCTGCCCGGCTTTGATACCTACGATTCCGTCTCGTCGCCGTCAGATTCAGACTCTTCTTCATCGAGCGGGTCATCGGATAGTCCGATAGACGAGCGCTACAGATATGGTGCCTATGGCGGTGTGTACGGACGGCAGATCGAAGGGCAGGTCGCGGAACTCCGTGAGGCGCAACGTCGATTGCGAGAGAAGAAAGCAGAGAGGAAGATGCGCAAGAGGGAGAAGAAAAGGAAGGCGAAGCTCCGCGCACTTGAGAAGAGATATTCCCTCTACCTTGCCTGCACATCGTCGCGAGAAGGAGGGCTGACTCCTCAATTATGAGCTTGCTCTGCACTGTCTGTCAATGTAAACCGTAGTTGCACGCGCCAGTTATTATGACACTCACTCACACTGTTGTACTGAAATTTCTACTGCTCCGTTTCTAAAGCCATTAGGGCATAACGTCTGGTACAAGGGATCAGCCAATACACATCTTACCAGTATCGAGGCATTGTCAGTTCTTACACCGCACTCTTATAGCGCGGCCGGTATGCGTTAGGTTGGAAAGGAGTTACTTCCATTTAACAGTGGCATAGGCGAAACCACCGTCATGTGCACAGAAGATATAGGAATTAACGACATAATGGCGTGCATCATTGTAGGTGGTATGCAAAAAGATTCCTGACCGAACATCAGGAATGATGAGGACGGTCAATTGATCAATGCCACTTACCGCTACCGCCGTTTGGCCTTCTTCGACCTGGTACCGCCGATCTTGATAGGTGTGTTGTCCGTGATGCGCACCAACGCCGACTTCACATTCAACCCCTCATCTCCCGTCAAAGCCTTTTGCATTGCCTCGCGCCCCGTCCCAAAGCCGTTATAGAACAGCTGCCATGACAAGTCCTCGACTCCCATCTCCTGCTGCAGCCGCTCGAAAACACCGACAGCGCACTTGTACCCCGCCTCGTAGCTTGAGCGATTTGAGCCCTTGAACCCAACGCTTCCGCCGGTCAAGGTCTTCAAGACAGTCCGGTTTGGCCGCGTAAGGGTAATGATCGTGTTGGTGCGGGAGGACTTCACATGCACGGAGTATATTGGTCTTTGCTCGGAGACATAGGTAGCATAGCGACCAGCAGTGCCCACCGCTCGTAAAGGGTTTTGAAACTCTTGCTTGGGATACATCTCTCCGATTGGCGGTCCCTCATCTGCGGCCAAGGTGGTAGTGGGAGGGGTAGTAGTCTCCGCAGTACTGGCCTTGGCGAGGCTGTCAAAGAATGACTCGATCGAGCCCTCCGTTGAGAGATATGCAGCGCCGCATGACCGTCGCGGAAGAGACAAGCTGAATATGCGACGTGTGAGCAGAGACATTGCGGAGAACGCAAAGGCCTCTTGGGCGCTTCTATCAGCACAAAGGTCGTGAGCCGCTGCGCAGCTAGCGCCGAAGCTGCAACTTGCCCTCGACCAGTAAGCCCGTCATGGCCTCAGTGAGTCGTGCTTCAACTTTATCTGCTGTTCTTGTACCAATCGCGTTGTACAGTTTGCAAACACGTTCTACAACACGTTCGTCAGGCGAAACAGTGAGTCCGCTCACGTTCTCTGTTCGTTGCATGCAGCATAATTTCACGGACGACCTCACTAGGCATATACGTGACCGCGATCTTCGCTGGTGCATACGCGTTTGGTGTCGGGTTCGACGTGGGTATTACTTCATTATGGGATCATTGGAACAAAGGGGTACGTGCGTTCAGTTGATCGAGACATGGATTCTTGCTCACAGTCCCACAGAAGCAGTGGAAGGACATCCGTGACAAATATGTGCATTGATCATTGGTGCTTGCATGATTGCTTGCCAACGTAGATTTACTTAACTTCGAAAAAAGTCCTAATGTGTCTATCGGATGTTGGTTGCTCTGAATGACGTGCCTCCGACCGTTGCACAAATTAAGCCTGCATCGGGCTCCGGCTTGCCGCATTTTCCTTCCGCCTCACATTGCTATGCGAACCTCTATATGCAGACGTCGCACAGTTACAACACGCACAACCTTCGCAATGCGAACCTAGCGCCCAACCCTTGACGGCCGCTGCTGGTTCTTCAGCTGGCCACTCGGACAAAGTCGGAAATGTAGCCAATGCGTCATCGCCAGCCAGAAAATATTAATGCCTGCACAATCCATATTATGCACTGTACACTACCTGTAAAGTAAGATACATTGCCAATGCTAGATATGACTCTAAGGTTCATGATGTGAGGGGCCGGAAGGGAAGATGATGCCACATGCAAAAGAATACTGAGCAAAATGATCAAAAGAACAAACGAAACTGACAAGTACAACCAGATAAAGGAGACAAAGACGCTGCGAAAGACTGGTCATGTCGATATCATCCCGTAGTCCGGCTCACTATCCGGCGTCCTGAAGATCTCGTCAAAAATCTCCTTGCCGTTGGTCGAGAGCGGAGGCAATTGGTCATTGATGGCCGACGGATCATCCCTAGAGGCCTTGATGCGACGCACGCGCTCCTCGTTCCATATCTTCTCCAACGTCTCGGCAAGATTCTTCAATCCGAAGAGAAACCCGCGATCGGGCTGATCGGGATAGTGAGGGGGGAACCTAGCGTATATCAGTCCAGTTTCCGGGTCGACGTCAGCTTGGTACCCCTTCCCGCTCGTAACCTCCTCGCTTTCTGGAGGCCCGTCCGGTGGATAGGGCAGCCAATCCCTGCCCGTTGTGGTATGCGCAAAGTCGACCAAACGTATCTGCATCTCGCCTCGTTTCCGACGTCGGCTGCAGCGGTCTGCAACCGGCCCAACCAGGAGGTCTTCGCTATGCGAGCGGCGCAGAGTAGGATGGTCCTCCTTCCTCTCCGTGGACTTGCCCAATCGACGCTCCAGAGACTCTCCTCGCTTGCTTCGCGAAGACGGGTGATCGAGGACTGACGCCCTGAAAGCCTCCTGCGCTTCAAGATCGCCGTCGTAGATCATGAGCAGGCTGCAGCCATAGAAACGATAGCCCTTCAGCCGATTGACGATGCGTGCGAGAGCATACAGCTTCCGCAATATGACCGGGATTTGGTAAACCAGCAGACGCTCGCCGTCATTCAGGAAGGACGATATTACGCCAGGGAAGTCTTCGGGACGGACCTCGCGACCCTTGTATTTGTCCTGAGTCACATAGGACCGGGTGACATGATTCCATACCTTCAATAGTATCGCCGTCAGCTAACAACCTAATCAATGTGACAGATACGGCGTATCGCGCTTCCAATGAACAACCAAGGATTTGATTGTGGCGTCCCCCCAGCCCAAATAACACGACACGCGCAACACGACACTCACCTGCATCCCGCACACTCTGACGCCTAGCGTCCTGCTCGTGGTTCGGTCGCACTTCTTTCGTTGGCTCTTCTTCTTGGCAGGCGTCGCGTCCATCCCATATTGACGGGTACCCATCTTCAGGTCAAGAACGCAGGAATGTTTGAGACGGCCAGTCAAGTCCTCCATTAAAATGAAGTGGTTCTGCCGCGTCACCGACGAAGCACGTCCTTTGGCATCTGGAGAAAGTCGATGGACTTCTGGGAGATGAGGCTCAAGCAGCTGCGTTTGGTCAAGGCACGGGGGTAGCGGTCGGGAGTCGCTCGGTTGCCGGCTGCGGGCTCGAGCTGTCAGTGAAGAGGCGCCGCTGTGGTCGCGGAACGTAGGCACAGCATCCTCGACCTCTCCGCGGTCATATTCAAACTCGAACATCTCGGGCGTCGCGCCATTCCGACCCTCCATATCCTCACAGCTCGGTAACGTCCTCTCACTCTGGACACGCCGTAGAGGTTGCCCAAGTAAGCTCTCCTCCTCCTGACGCAGCCGCTCTACTTGACTCAGCCTCTTCCTCCGAACCCTTATCTTCGAAGGCCCATCGCTCAGAACCACACCCTCACCTTCGGCATCGGCAAGTTCGCCCTCATCCTCAGCCCGAGAGCCAGCACCACTATAGCTAGGATAACGCCTGGATAAGCGGCGCAGCAGGGTGTTAAACACGTGGTCCTTAAATTTTGTGTTGACCATGGTTGAGCCTGTCCCGCCAAACAGACCCGCGTTGTATGCAGATCTAGGGGACAGACCCTGACGTTCAACGGCCGATGGCATGCGAGTCGAGATCATTCGAGGTGTGTTCACGGGCGTGGGAGCACCAGATACGTAGTCCTCCTCAACGCGAGTGCGCGCGAGAGAGCTTGGAGCCGGCTTGAAGCCACCTTGTGACCAAGGAAGACGCGTTGCAGATATCGCAAGATCAGGACTGGATGCAGTGTACCCGCCCAGATGGACGCCTCGAAGCCTGCCGTTGTACGGTCGAAGGAATGCAGAGTCGGACTGTGACATGGCTCGGCTGCGCCCACCACGAAGCAGCCATTGAGGAACGATGTGGCGGTTATAGTCCAACGCGACTTCTGGCAACTCGGCCTCGCTTGCCTCCGTTTCCGTCCCATTCGATTTGACGGACTTGTCAGATGGAAGTGATCTGGACACATCGGACGGCATCTTCTGCAGCGGAGGGCGTGTACGATCCAGACCTTCGCCGGCGCGTCGTGCGCAGGAGCCTGTTAATGACCGCGGCACACGCCTATAACTTACAAGCATGACACCGAGGTAACGCGGTATGAAGTCAAGAAGTGGAGGAGCCTCCCGTTCGACTGCTTCATAGAACAGGTTCTCGCGAGATACCAAAGGCTGAAAACGGGAGTTTGTGATCATGGATTGATCCAAGCCCTTAGGCGTAGAAAGAATCAGCTGTACGCACCTTGCAGACGGCCCGCTTTGTGAACTTGTAAATGGCATTATGCCCGCCAACTTGGTTGCGAAACGGGCGAAGAGGAATGTGAGGCAATCTCTCCTGGTAGCCATCGAGATCCGGTGGTAGCTCTCCAAACCCAGGAACAGCCAAGCCTTGCGAGTCAACTTCAATATCACCGTACTGCGATAACAAAGCTCGCTGATGCTGTTCGTCATCTTCGTCGCTGGGATGCCGGACAAGCGGGTGCGGCTGCGGGCTCGTGCGAGATGGAGACATGGGAAAGGGGGACGACGCTTCGGTGGTAGACGTAGTCGTCGCCGAAGCAGTGTCCCATGCACTCTCATCATCAGTGGACCATGGTGAGAAAGAGTATGGGTCGGATGCGACGGTAGAGGGATATGGTACTCGTCGGTGATCTTGAACGGGAGCGGGGGAGCGAGGACGTTGTGGTAAGCGGGCTGGAGGAGATACTTGACGTTCGGTGAAAGTGCTTGGAGTGGATAGCTCGAGGGATAGTGGCGGTGCTTGGACGGGAGTACGAGGGCGATGAATGGACGAGAATCGACGATGAGGTGTGCGGACGGGAGATCCAGTAGAGTCATGGTATGTGACGTTGGACGATAGAGACGAATCGGTACCCGGTGATCCAATCTCAAGCGCGGACGAGTCTTCGTGCCATGCATCCCGTTCTCGTGCCCTGCCTCTGTCTTCCTCCACTGCATTCCTCCACTGCATCAGATCGTTTAGGATGCTCTCTCGAATAGACAACGTCCGCTTCTGCGATCGACGGCGTTCCGGCTCGCGTACGCTCACGCCCGAGCTTATGCTGTCCCGTGTTCGCACTCTCTCCAGGCCCGTCATACTCTTCTCCCTCCGGATGGCAGCAATCTCGCGGTCGGGCCAGTCGGATCGCTTGACGAACTCGAACTGGGCCTCCGCCATATCTTCCACAGGACGCAAAGAGCCAGCTTTGCGCTTGGAGGCGGAAGACCCTGTTCTGGGACGGTCGAACGGTTTCACGTCTTCCTTTGCGGGAGTACTCGTGGACTCTTTGAACAAGTCCAAGGATGCGGCCACTTTGCGGCCAATGCCAGCAGTGGCAGACGGGGCCATCTCGTGGCTCGAGCTCGGGCGCGAACTTGGGGATGAAGATGAGGACGAAAGGGAGGGCGACCTCCTCGACAGGGGTCGAGCAGATAAAGCGGAATGCATGGACAATAAAGGATCAGGGGGAGACATACGAGTTGCAGGCAATGTCAATGCCCTTTCTGATGCTCTACGCATGGCCCGCTTGCAAGGTTGTTGATGAGGCGGGGTGCGAGCGTGCTTGGTCTCGGTGCCAGAGCCGCTTGACTCTGTCTCACTATCATTGCGCCATTGAGTGTGAGAGGATACCTTGGATGACGTTGTGCGGCGAGGCCTAGCAGGGAGGTAAAACAAACGATCCTTAGCTGGACGAGGAGACGAAGATGGAGCGGATGTTGAGCTGTCCAGCGAAGGATGCCGAGAGCGCGGGTCCTCAGCGCGGATGGGACTCATATACTTGTGTGCGCCAGCCACCGGACGGAATTAGGCTAGCTCGGGGAAACGGGGATGGAAGAGAGAGAGATTTAGAGACGGGAGATATAATAAGTCGAGATGACCGCAAGCGCTGTCAGCAACGTTCTGGGCTGTGCCCGTTGAGCGGTAGCTAAGATTGACAACTGAGAGGAGACGGAGAGACGTGCGTGACCGTGCTGGGGGAGACTGCACTGCGAACGGCGCCTGTGAATGAAACTTGCAGTGACGATATTGATGCACACACGTGGGACCTCGACACTTTAGCCGCTCGTCCTCCCCCGCCTCCTCTGCAGCGACAACGATACTCAATCCGACGATCAGCCTCCGACAATGCTCCGCCGCCATCGTCGCCGCGCTCGCGCTGGTGTCTTCCTTTTTTCCATCTCAGTTGCAGCACTATCTACCGGGCGTTATCGTGTCCTCGGTTCGTCAGCACGACGCACGTTCGAGAAGGCATATCATGCTGCATGTTGCGGCTCAGTCCGAGCTCGCGACGTTCTTTCTCGCGCCGATGGACGTTCCTTCATCCACGCTTACATGCCCGGCTGCGTGGGATCGGCTCCTTTGCAGCGAATGAGGACATGCACGGTCCTCTACCCCGCGTACTTCGTGGCTTGTCCATAATGCCATGCGGACTACATCGTCTCAGGTGTGTGATCACCTGTGCCCTCTGTCAATACTCAGCCAGGTGACGGCCACCTTGCCTTCAGGCAGGCCGATGTAGGCGCAATGAATGCCGTCTCTGTGGCGTTCCGCTTGTCGCCACCGCTCAACATCATGTGCACTGACGTACCTTTTGCCGTCGTATACAGTTCGGTTGATTAGATAGGTGCAGACGTAACAATTACGTCCAGCAGTGATACGAGCGCCTCACTGGTCGTTTCGTCATCTGGTCACGAACAATGCTGAGGGAGTTCTGCTGCAGCACATGCTCCGCGCAAGAAACTACAAGCATGGTGACCGATCTTCGGAGATGGGCTGTGCCGAATTGTCGCTTCTCTTTGCAATCAAACTGCCGCCGCTCAGTGAACAGAAAATGGGCCACTTGACGTGTGTAAGCTCACGCGGCGAGTTTCATGTCGGGTTTTTCAGTATACAATCTCGCTATCCTTGATTTCATCTCAAATCTCATCACTGTCACGGACGTGTCTTGACGTTGCGTCCGTCACTCAGCTGGTTTCAATCTCGAAAATGCCTTGTCGCCATTGATGACATGTTGAGCGTGGCAATTGACTTTGTTCTACTTCTGCTAGAATGATAAGGATGTTTGTCATGGTTGTAAGCATCTGCCAGTGGAAAGTTGAGAGACATAAACTGAACAAGATGGCGGAAGTGAACTTCAAGACTTTACTTGTTCTTTGCAAACCTGCCTGCAGGACAAGATCATGACAATGTATACATGATGCTGACATAAGCAGCTGATGCGTAGTGTTGGTTCAATCAGATGAGGGCCATCAAGGCTGCGAAGATAAAATGTAAAACAAATTGTGAGTAAAAGGCCGATCAGACAGAATTTGTACGACAAATGAGTGTTTGCCTATCTTTCAAAGTCTGGTGTGCATCCAGCCAGACCTAGAAGTCTAAAAATGCCTGCGAGAAGGCATCTCATGGGAATTATGAGTCACACACTTGATCAGATACTTAATCAGCACCATCAGGCTAGACAGACTAACCATATATGGACTTCATGTGATTCTCAATGAGCCAATAAGAATTTTTGCACATTATTTGCTACTATTTACATCTGCTCATCAGTGACATATAAGCCGGCACCGCTCAGCTTTTCTTTTCTCCTTCCTCATCTATGTGCATTGCATCACACTTTGATCATCATCGACAACCCTTGTCCTTCACTTTATTCTTGGGCATATCTTTGTTCTTTTATGTTCAGCAATCCATTCTATCAAGTGGATTGATTTTTTTTGGATTTCATCAACCATTGCACCATACCATCAGTAACTCTACAAGTGACTGTTCGCAAGGGATTAACAAAGGTAAGTGATGGCGTCAAAGCATTATAAAAAGCTTTAGTAGACTGATAACTCTTTGCAATAGCCCATTACACCAGTTTATCACACAAGCCTCTTAGAATGCCTCGTTTATCAGCCACCCTCCTCAATTCAGGTTCTGCTCAGCCAATTTTGTCACAATCCTATAACTCTCATAATTCTGGAGAGCCAGGCACCTCTGCAGGCCTTCCACTATCCTTGTTGTCTTCATCTCATCGAAATGCAGTCACTGCACTCAATCTTCGACATCTGCTTCCAGCATCGACACATCTGCAGTTTAGCTGCAAGGCACCTGAATCATCATCTCACATGAGTGATGCATCCTCAGCCATGCTTGAGGATGAAAGTTCAGAGGCCTCAGATATGGAGGTGTCTGCAGTGACAACAAAGCAGGATAATGCCATGGACATTGTGGAAGATGTTTTTGCTGGTCAGCATGCCAATTCTCTTGGCAAAGAGAATGAAGATGCCATCATGGTGGATGACAGTGAGGGAGAACAGCTGGTGACACCATCTTTGGATGCTGCATATTGGGAGTCTTTGTTTGGCCCAGAACCAGAGGAGGAACAAACTTCCACAGCAGCTACACAGCTGAACATCCATTCCCCCTCCCCTTCCCCTTCCCTGGCTTCTTCTTCCCCTTCTCCGGCTTCTTCCCGTTTCCATTCCCCTTCTTTCACAAGATCAGTCTCGGAATCATATATACCAACACCTCGGCAATCAGCAAGCAGGAGATTTGCACACAAGATCACAGGTCTCGTAATCAAGACGGCTCAGGATTGGACCGACTCCATCAATGCATTCGTTGATCAAGTCAAACACAAACAGCCACCTCAGGAGGAGACCTGGTTCCAGTTGAAATGGGCACTAGGAGAGATCGACGAGGCTAGGCAGAAGGTGTCCGAGTCGATGGAAGTTGTAAAGGTACGTCAAATTCAATTGCCAAGCCGTTGATCGTCTTTACGAGGATGCTGACATCGTGCCATTCTTCACAGCAATCGGGACTGGCGCACGCAATGGGGCGCTTTTTGAGACTGCATAAAGTGCCACCTGGATACTCGCTTTCGGAAGTCCAGAAACTGCAGGACAAAGTTCGGGACATCGGCAAGTACTGGTTAGAGCAGAACGGTGCACGGACCCTCGCTGAAAATGCGGTGGCGAAGTGATCGAGCCTAGCCCTGTCGCGCCACAAAAAATCAAAGGCCACAAGCCCAGAAACTGTATCGCTTCGTGAACGACAGCGAGAGGCGATATGAGCTAGGGGACGAGAGAACAATGGAGATGTAGAGAGAGTAAGGAGTAAGGAGAGACGGAAGAAGTGGCAGTGGGTATAAGAGGAGGACTGGCAGCGGATTGACGCTGCGTGGTACCGCCACGCAGTCACCTGTATACCATCAGAAACCTTATGCTAGCTACAATTATGAGAACCCGTGAAACACACAGTCACATCCGGATGGGCGGAGACACTTTGGTCGGAGCGCTGATACTAGTAAGGGACTCGTCTAACGCTAGTAGGATTAAGTCATACACTACACCATGTGCTAGGCCATACAAGCTCTCTATAGTTCCGTGCTCGCGAAGGTGGTACATGGACAGATAAACGAGCGCCATGGACAAACCTAAAACCCTGAAAAACGAATAGGATACCAAAGCCTACATTCCACCATCATGAGGAACATAAGCGTCCTCGGGTCCGTCCTCCAGGCGCCGCTTCTTCGCAGCAGGACGGTCGTCTGATTCTGGAGGGTCGTCGTCTATCACCACGATCGGGGATGGTGCGGACTCTACAGGCATTTGCAACGAGTCAATGGGCGGCGGCACGGGCGCAGTCGTAGAAGCCGGGTCCGCTGTGCTGTCGACCTGCATTGCAGCTTGTGGCTCTGCTACCGGAGAAGAAGACGACGGCTGCGCAATCCGCGGTGTCAGTGGTGTAGTGGTGAACAGGCCCGATGGCGATATGTCCGTCCGAGAAGGCGCGGCCGCAGGCGGCACATCTCTTCCAGTCCCCGGCGGTGCACCCCTTCCCCTACGTGGCCGGCCCCTTCCACGGCCCCTGCCGCCTTCCGCCTTTAGCTTCTCCTTGTAATAACGCACAATATAGCTCTGCAAAATCTCCAACGCCTTCTGCGCGCCGAGGGCTTCGAGGTCCCTTAAATGCTCTGGTGTGAGATGGGAGAAGATCTCGGGATTGAGGATGAGCGAGTTGTCATGCAGGACGATAGGCTTGGGGGGACCGGAGGATGTGGATACTTGGTTCGGAGCCGGTCCTACAACGATAGGTATGCGGACCGTGGCAGGGATGAGGGGATGCGAGGATGTCGATGCGGGAGCAGCACTCGTATTAATTGTTGCAGGTGCAGGCGTACCGGCAATGGTTGCAAAGGAAAACGCGGTCGCCATCCCAGAGGATGCGGATGGCGTTTGAGGTGCAAACGGAGGTACCGTTGCAGCTGCGGTTTCAAGCTTCACAGTTGGTGCGATCGAGGATGGATGAAGAGGCGCCATAGGCTGAAAAGACGGAGTCGGCGCGTCCGTGATCGAGGTAGTCTTCAACGTGAGCGGCGTCGATGTAAGTGGTGGAGGAAGAGGTGCCCCCTTCAAGTCGCCCTTGACACTCCTTGTGAAAGGTGGGTCAAGTGGTACAGCCTTGGCCTTCTTACTCCCTGGTCTTCCGTCCTTCCCACCCGTACCGCCCGAAGCGAGTGACGCCTGTCTTCGCGCGTCTTGCTCCTCGAAATTGTGCTCGAACGCCTCGTCAATGAGCCATAATGCACCTTTCCCCTTCTCTTCTTTCGTTCGCAGAAGTTTCTTGAAGCCAGGGTTGGAGGAGAGATTGTGCCGGACGGAACTCTGCATATGAGACGAGAAATCAGGATTAATAATAATACATCGGTACAGGCATACGCGACATACCTCCCAGTCCTTTGCACAGTACTTGTACCAGTCGTACGTCTCTCTGATCCAATTGCATATCTCCTGCAAAGACCCCTTGCCGCCCAGAGCTTTGATTGCTCGATAACATAGTTGAGCATAAGTTAACGGCGGCTTAGGAGGCATGAGTTCAGGCAGTGGTGCAGTGGCAGAGGAATCCGATTTCTTGCGCTTCTTCGCGCTCGACTTGAATTTGCTGATAGTATTCGAATTAGGGAGGGATGATCCAGGTAATGGGGGTATCTTTGGCGGTGCGGAACGAGGTGATGATACAGGAGCCAGCGGTGGAGAACATGAGGGTATTGAGGATGGAGGGGAGATGGAGGTGACATCGACAATATCGACCGACGCAGAACGCGAACGAGCGCGGTTATCGGACGAATCTGAAGTAGGAGAAGGCGAGTCCTCTGGGGCTGGAGGAGGTGGCAGAATAAAGTGAAAGGTGCGGGAAGCTATCTGTATTTGCGATCTACACAAAATAAGATGAAATTATGTGGACAGAGACGAAAACGTACCTGTCGCTGAGTGGGACTTTGCTGCCGCTACCAGACCACACTCCGTCGACCCAGGCGCCGTTCCTGCCTATTACGATGAGGACAAAGCGCTCCTCGTCCTCTTCGTACTCAATCTTAGCGTGGAGACGCGATACGCTCTTGAGGGGCCCGAGGTCGACATCGACGTGCGGGTTGTCGGAGGAGGAGGCGGAGGAGGGAATGCAGCGGCGACCGATGGTGACATTGAGGGTCTGAAGGTAGTAGGTGAAGTTGGGGAAAACGAGGCTATAGTAGGCGGATATCTTGCTGGGTGGGGCATCGAGCTCGCGCGGGAGGTCGGCGGGGTCGTGTTGGGTATCCTTGAAGCGAGCAACGAGGGCGGCCATGGTAGCGGGGTCGCGGACGGAGGACGTGCTTTGAGTCATGCAGAGGCCACGGCCCAGTCGCCGGTTGAGGAATCCTCTCGGCGCCTCCCGGCTGGCTGCGTATGCCTCTTCCGGCCTGCCGCCACGCTTTCCGCATCCATGGCCAAGTTTATTCATTACCCTCGCTGTCTCTCTTTTGTTTCATCTCGACGCCATGTCTACCAGCACCGTCATGCAGAAGCCAAAGGAGAAGGTCGATAACCTCGCCGACCACAATGTGGACACTACCGACACGGAGTTGCGCTACATGGCTTACGCCTCCCGTTTGAGGACGGTTTTACGCGCCGGCCACCGATATGTCGCATATGTGCGTATATCTCATTGTGTACAGTGGTTCTCGAGTAGCGATGGATTCACACTAGACCAGTGATGTCGGCGAAGCGTTTCGTCCCGTCGTCCCACCAGCGGTTGTGACCGCTGCCTATGGTATCTCGTGGCTGTACCTTGCCGGGTAAGCCACCCTGCGTTCCGAACAAACACTCCATGGATTGACTGTCGCGCATGCACATCAGCGATGTCGGATATGAATCCTACAAGGCGCACAGGCGAGGTCCGACTCCGCTCGAGGCCGCAAACTTCGCCGAGCCAACGCGAGTCGGCATGGTCGCGGTCAAGCGCGCCGTCTTCCAGTCTATTGCCTCCATGTATGTGCTGTCCTCTGCACGTTCGAGCCAGTACGGCTCATGCATTATCGCCGCAGGGCCCTCCCCGCGTTTACCATTCATACGGCGGTTAAGATTGCCAAGAGGGCCTTTGTCTATGTCAAACATCCGCGCATCAGAACATGGGGCCCGTCGGCGACCGGTCTAGCGATGATTCCTATCCTGCCATATCTTTACGACAAGCCAGTAGAACACTCTACAGAGGCGGCGTTTGAGTGGATAGAGAAACAGATTATAGAGCGGGAAACCAAGACGGAGTTATAGACCTCTACTGATGTAGTACCATCTGCTTGCATATAATGCGGGGACAATAATTGGCCGATATTTATCTCATTCGAGCCGGAGAATAGCGTTGAGAGTCCACCAAAGATGTGTAATTGCCGGGGGTGAGAGACTGGATTGACTCCGAGTTGAGCTGCTGATACAAGGATTGCGTGAGTACATGTCTACGGCATAACCTAACGTAGGTATGGTTCGAGATTAGGAGATCATATAACGACCGTCCAATGAGAGCACTGCGAGATGTGAACGTTTGAACAGTCTGGTTTCGTAGCGCCATGCAATGGAGCTAAGCGGGCATATCAGTAAGGCAAAGGGTTCTAGTGGAAACGACCAAGAGCAAGTGGTATTGAGCTGATCGAATTTGGCGGGATTACGCCAACTTCTGTGACGACGGCAGTGATGCATGTCGGCGGAGTTAGGTCGTATAATGGGTTGAGAATCTCTAAACTTGGTTTATTCTGCAGTATCAATGACTCGCGAGGTTTGGCGAGGGGAAACGAAGAAAAGATGTCCTCAACTGGCGCTGTGCGAATAATATATGAGATCACAAATCGATACACCACAGGGAATGTGTGATCACCTAATTCATTCTTCGTAAAACTATCGAGCTGCACACCTTCGGAGAACTTGTACGTCTCGCAGCAAACGACCACAGGGACCGAATGCCGTTTCGCCATCATAGCTACTAAGGCAGTTCCCGCTCTTGAGAATATGGCGCCATTTGAGTGTATTGAGTGAGTGCCGACGAATACAGTAGAGACTTCAGTGATGACAGAACCAAGAGCAGGCAGGAGGAGATATGTGCACTGGATGCCCGCAGAGGATAGAACGGATAGTGAACGTTTGCCTATTGTGTGACATTAATAAACCTGCGGAGAACAACTGACTCGCAGAGATGACACTCACCTTCTAGCATCGGCCTTGAGTCTACGACGATCACTGAGAACTTCCGCCCTTTTTCATATGCGCCGAGAAGCACTTTTTCGACTACTGACGACCTACGTACACGTCAGAATGTATGAAATGTTTCTTGCAGATTACAGCATACCTGGCATATGTCAGGATGACATCCCCATCCTTGATCTTATTCCCAGCAGTTTCCTGAATGACTTGATCTGCAATTATAATCCTGTCCCGAATGTAATTATCAATCTTGCGGCAGAGGTGGTTTTTTGCCTGCAATGTGCGTTAGAAGTGCGCATGCATACGAAGAGAGAATGCCACGGACGTCTTGCTCAGGCAAATCGATATCAGACCCGCTGATCTCGAGCTTCAACTGCCGGATAGCATTCCCCATTGTCACTGACATTGGTCTTGCTGCCACCAAATGACTGATTTGTGGAGAAAGATGAGTCATGAGATGGCGGGAGAGGGTATTATTCGAGGGCGTTGTATAGTCTTGTATCACCTGCAGTGCTGCTCATCAGATGCAGTTCAGGCACGTCGAACGACCATACGTACTGTCTTGAAGGCCGTCAAGGTAGCAATACAACGTGCATTTGCTCCGGTGATCTTGAAGTTCGAGAATTGCAGCGCGAGTCGTATAATAGTTGGGTGAATCTCGCCTTTCGCGATGCTGACGGGCTTCGGTAGACCAAAATGCGCGAATATTCGCAGTCCTCGCGCCTTCTCCAAGGAAGCATCGGTCGCGAGGGCAGCTGGCATTTTAATGTCCTTCACAGGCTTGCCCGGCACAGCCAAGACGGGTCGGACGGGCAAGTCAGGCACTTTCTGCGCTTTTCTCGGGGCAGGAGAGACGAAATCAGGCTCCTGCTTGTCTTTTGGTTGCTTCCTGTTGACTGCGGCGGGTGCGACCTCTGCCTTTGCTGCCTTTGCGGCTCGCTGCTTCTCTTGCAGTTCACGCCGCTCAGCCTTAGTCATTTGTTTCTGCGACTTGCGTGGCACATCTGTTAGCTCGCCGCTGTAGGGCTGTACTTGAACGTCTAATGTAGGTGCAGGAGCCATAGTGAGCAGTGTTGGAGGATCAGATGCAAGTCAATGGCAAGACCTCAGCTCGAGTGCAGCATTGCATAGGGAGGCGCGCTTGGATGATTGACTCGAGATCTGACGCGAAGCACGAGGCCGTGTGAACATTACGATAGCGCCGTGGTGCGCCAGGTTTCCGCGTCTTCGGCGCGCTCGCTCTCGAGTCTGCAACGACGACCACGGCTGATTGCACTTTGTCTCTGCCGTCATTCCATCCCTCTGCGCAAATATCCTAAATACTGACATTATTATTTTAGGTCACTAGACATGGTACGTCTTGTGTAGCATCCGCGGGTATCTGCTTAACGCCTTTGCTTGCAGGGTGTTCCCGCGCTCTTTCGCTGGCTCAGTAAAAAGTACCCTAAAATCGGTACGTCTACACTCCGCATCGCGCGAATAGCCTTATGGCTAATTATATGTCCCTAGTCTTACCTGTCGTTGAAGAAGAGGAGACAAAGCTTCCTGACGGCGAGGGCAATGATGTAGTTGTCCCAGTCGACATCACCCGACCCAATCCCAATGAGGTAGAGTTCGACAATCTCTACCTGGATATGAATGGTATTGTGAGTGCTTCAGTTATGCTGCTTATCGTTTTTATCGTTTTTAATGTGTCGTAGGTCCATCCTTGCACGCATCCCGAGGGGAAGCCCGCGCCAGAGACCGAGGAAGAGATGATGATCGAGATCTTCCAGTATACTGAACGAGTTGTCAACATGGTTAGGCCTCGAAAGCTCCTCTTCATGGCTATTGACGGTGTAGCCCCTCGCGCCAAGATGAATCAGCAGCGCTCCCGCCGATTCAGGTCCGCTCAGGAAGCGAAGGAGAAAGAGGAGGCGCACAAGGAGGCTGTTGCCATGTGGGAAGGTGAGCATATGTTTGCTCTGGTATAACATTAGCGGATGCGCTGACATATCATAGCTATGGGGAAAACTATCAGTGAAGATGAGAAGAACAAGAAATCGTGGGACTCGAATGCTATTACCCCCGGCACACCCTTCATGGACTTATTGGCCAATTCATTACGTTACTGGGTTGTACAGAAGATGAATTCAGATCCGGGTTGGGCACAGGTGCGTCTCACTGCTGTCTTTTTGCGTAGATGCACAAGCTGACATTATCCAACATTAGATGGAAGTCATCATCTCTGATGCGAGTGTGCCTGGTGAAGGAGAGCACAAGATCATGGATTACATTCGACGACAACGATCCAACCCTGGGCATGACCCTAACACCAGACATGTTATATATGGATTGGTGCGTGACGTGCTTAGCCTTCCGAAGTATACTTGTTGACTCTGGTTATAGGACGCGGATTTAATCATGCTTTCGTTGGCTACACATGAACCGCATTTCAAAGTGTTGCGTGAAGATGTGTTCGCTCAATCAGGTAGTCCCACGGCATGTCGTATATGCGGCCAGGAAGGGCATTATGCAGCACAGTGTACAGGCACGAAGGCAGAAATACAGAAGCCACCTCCAGAGAAGAAGCCGTTCATTTTCCTCGATGTCGCCATTCTGCGCGAGTATCTAGAGGCCGAGCTCTCAGTGCCGCAGACGGCCTTCCCATTTAATCTTGAGCAAGCGATTGATGACTGGGTGCTCCTGATTTTCTTCGTCGGAAATGACTTCCTGCCCCATCTGCCATCACTTGAGATCAGAGAAGGTGCTATTGACACACTGCTGAGGATCTGGCAGGACGAGCTTCCGCGGATGGGCGGTTATCTGACCAATCATGGCCAAGTCAATCTCGCGAGAGCCGAGATCATTCTTGAGGGTCTCGCTAAGCGCGAAGATAACATCTTCCGGAAGAGACGTGAAGGTAAGAATAGCATTCACGCCGTAGAGGTTCGTTACTGAGCAGATGTCTCTTGTACACAGCCGAGGAACGCCAGCAAGACAATGCAAAGCGGCGTGAAAATGAGAATAAGAAGAGAAAGATTGCCGAGATAGGTCCGTCGGCGTCGCTAAATCTGACGGCTGCTCCTACCGCACCGTCGGCGGTCCCTTCCACACCTATACGCCATCCTCTTCCCCCACGACCGAGTAACAACTTTGCTGCGAATGCAGACAGCATTGGGCTGGGTGGGCCGAAGACGGCCGAGACTGCGCTCCACGAGCAGACAGCAGCACAGGCGTTGGCTGGCTCCAATCGCGATGTTGTTGCGAACAGACGTGCGATTCGTATGGCGAACATGAGTGCTGCTGAGATGCTCAAGGCTGAGTTGGCTGGGCTGGTGCCTGTGAAACCTAGTGCTTCGTCGTTGTCGAAAGCTACCCCTGCCCCTACTGTGCAAAGTGCTGTACCTGCCGCTGCATCATCTGAGGCTCCGAAAGAGGTCCCTGACCTTGCAATGGGCGACGATACGGATGTCCCTGGATTGGGCGGTGCTGTTCCCCAGGAACAACTGGTGTCCTCTGTGACTGAGACAGCGGAACACGATGTTGGGGCAAACGGGGACTACGACGCTGTTGCTGTCCAGGAAGACTCTTTTATGAGCATTGAAATCACCAGTAGCCCCTCGCGCGGCGTTAAGCGCAGCATAGAGGAGGTTGAGAATGCAGATGCAGAAGCAGATGAAGAGGAGGATATAGTGCCGAGTGAGGAGGATGAGGAGGAGACCACCACGATAAACCAGCTCAAGCTGAAAGTCAATCCTGATGGTACCGTCGAGCAGGAGGACACCGTGAAGTGCGTTCGTCAGGCGTATTCTATTGTTGCCTTTGTTAAATTTCGTCTTCCACAGATTATGGGAACCGGGTTATAAGGAACGGTACTACCGACAGAAATTTTGTAGAGAATACAGTGATATTGAGTTCAAAAAGGAGTATGTATATGCAGTGCTTCTGCTATCCTCCGGCTACTCACCAGCAATTTTCCAGGATCACGACGCGGTATATCGAGGGAATGGCTTGGGTTTTGCAGTACTATTACCAAGGGGTACGTCCTACTAATTGTGCGGCCTTTCAAATACTCAACGCCTCTGTTGCAGACACCGTCATGGCAATGGTACTATCCGTACCATTTTGCTCCCTTCGCTGCCGACTTCGTAGATGTAAAGGACATGAACATCAAGTTCGACATTGGTCAGCCGTTTAAACCGTTTGAGCAGTTGATGGGCGTATTCCCCGCTGCTAGGTATGTTGCTGCGTTCCGTTCTGCGCCTGAGCCAACTCACAGCTTAAACCACTCCAGTCGACAGCATATCCCGGTGGTCTTCCAGACGCTCATGATAGAAGAGACCTCGCCGATCATCGATTTCTATCCGTCCACGTTCGAAATTGATATGAACGGCAAACGGATGGCGTGGCAGGGCGTTGCACTGCTGCCCTTCATAGATCAGGAGCGCCTGCTCGAGGCAATGGCCCCCCATTATGAAAATTTGAGCGATGAGGAGAAGCATCGTAACAGGTGGGGCAACAACATCTTGTATGTGTATGAAGATCATCCTCTGTACCATTCTTTGGAGGCGCTGTACGGGAAGCGCAAGAGCAACGATGTGAGTGACTCAGTTCTTACATATATGCAGCTCATACTGACGTTTTTCAAGCCCGTACGCATTGAGGTCAAGGCTAGCAAGGGGATGAACGGTAGTCTGCTTCCAAACCCGGATTGCCTACCAGGATCGACATACTACTCGCCGTTGCCCGGCCAGCCCGATGTCAAGAGTGACCGATCTTTATCCGCCTTGTACTTCTTCCCCAAGCAGTTGAAGCCACATCGTTCGGTTTTATTACCAGGCGTTCGCAGGCCGCGCCCTGTTCTCAGTGAAGCCGACCGCGAGACCGCGAGGCGCGGTGGCCGAGGCCGCGGACGTGATAATTATGGATCATCAAGCCGCGGTAGTTATCGAGGAGGGCCGCAATCGTACGTCAACGGATCATACGGCGGTGGACGCGACTTCGATGGTCGCGGCGGCAACACATGGCATGATGGTAGCTCGGCGTCATATCAGTCATATCAGCGCAGCAGCAGCACGTTGTATGCAGCGGCGTACTCAGGAAATACCTCGTATCAAGCGAATCAGCCTGCGTACAGCTCGCGAGGCGGTGGTGGAGGCTATGGGGCCAGTCGTGGGAGAGGTGCATCCAGGGCCCGTGGCGGCTATGACGGAGGCTCGTATGGAGGATCGTACCCTCCAAGCGCCGGAGGGTATGGGCAGGGCGGTGTGAAGACGAACTACGGGGGCTATGGCAATGGCGGTGACTTTGGAGGTTATGGAGGTGGAAGTGCAGGATACGGCGGAAACTCTGGATACGGTGGGAGTACAGGAGGATACGGTGGCTATGGCGGCTATGGCAGTGGCAGCAATTA